CTCGCTCACCTATTGAACAATAAACGAAGTTTCAATAAATAATTTCTCACCTAGCAGGTATTTTGGTGACTTTTGACAAAAATTTGGCGTTTTGTTGGTTGAAGTCTTTTGCAACCGGGCTACTTCGCTGTTTTCCTTTATTTCCTCTGCCCTTGTAGCCCCCTCCTGATTCACAACACGTCACTTTATCATCTTCCTCCCATCCCGTTGAATTATTATCTCCCACATATCTCCATCACTCGGCTTTTCCTTCCTGCTGTTCGTTCCCGTTTCGCGAATTTGATTTATTGGGGAGCAAACAGCACATGTCGTATAAACGTTCGAGACAGACAGAATATCTGCGTAATTCAAAGGGCCCTCACATTGCCAGCGTTTCAGAGTTTACAGTTCACATTGTAATTTTGAAGAGTTTTTTGTTAATTTTATATTTTAATTCAAAACATTTTAATTGTGGTATGGATAGTCGTAGTGTCAATTCAATAAATTACAAAACAACATACATATTATGTGAGTTTATTCAAAATCAAAATTTAAAAAATTGTAATAGATTAATGTCTAAAAAGAAAACTGATATTTTTGTAGTGACGGAATGCTTATGAAACAAACGGTTTGCAAATTGTAGTACGCTTAAGGAATATCAGAACTAATGTGTAATCACTAGTCATCACGTTCATTTTTGACTCCAAACATTACTTCTTCTGACTCTATTTGGAACATCTTCTGAAATCATTGCTTCTTCTCTCGTGATTGATATTGCAGTGTGCCGGCAAGCCATGTACTCCAACTAGATCGCCTATTTAGTTCGTCCGAATAAAAAAAAAGGGAATGCAACGTTTTATGCTCCACGTAGTTGCGTTCCGTTTCTCTCGAAAAAGTCCTGATTTCTTCTTCCTGACCTAAACTATCTTCTTCCTGATCAATATATAGATTTGATATTTCAAAAATCCTTCAGATCCGTCGCGAGGCCAATAACTACATTTTTTATTATGACTTAAAAACCGACATCAAAATGAACGTGGATCGTATATCATAACGACGTGAATGTTGCTCAGGTTTTGCTTAAAACGTAGCAAACACACAAAGTTCACTATCAATCGAGTGTCGTTTCCTAATTTAAAAAAAAGTGTCCATATGATTCTGTTGTAATAAAAGCTTCAACAGCGGTGTTACGTGTTTTTATCCTACACAGTATGAAACATATTTCCGATGACTCTAGGGAAAACGAGGATGTGCTTTGCAAACAGATGACTCCTCATTCACCACTAATGAGGGTTTTTCCTTCTGTTTCTTTGCAGTGTTAGCTACTTCCGGGAAATGGCACATTGTCGGTACCTTGTGCGAGAATGGATTGTTGATGTTATAATTTGTCTATAGAAGTGGAGAAAAATATGGGTAATCAAATGTATGTTTGAAAAATGTAGGTACTTCTCCAAGTTCAAATTTTAAGTTGTAGTGAAGTCGAGTATATACAAAATTCAAGGGTATATTTATTTTCAACCTCTGATGGTCAAAGTAAGCAAGATACAAAAGTAAAGCAAAGTAATTAATTTATTAACAAACGTTATATGCAATCATGATTACTTTTCTACGTAACTGCTGTAAAATACAGGCAGTTCTAATTTGTCAACAAACGTATTGAATCACTCATATAAGAATGTGGCAAGTTCATATAACTAGTCAAGACCAAAAGAAATAGTAAAATAATACGGGAAAGTTTGTGCCATTCTGTAGCACAACCAGTTCTTTATCTCTTCAAGTCCCAGCTAATATTGAAGTGGAATGACATATATCGCGGTAGGTCCTGCACGAAAGCGTGTTACGCATTAAACTCAAGTGGATTCCCAAATAAATGAATTTACAGACGACAGTGATTGCTGAGTTAGTATTATTAACCGATTTGAATAATCTATAAGAAAGGCTTTAGATCAAAAGAATTTTAACTAGCAAAACAATATTCAATGTAACTTATGACGTAATTCAACGACACTTGAAAAACTAGGCAATGGAAGAAACTCGAAATACTTTTTTTAAAATTCGGTTGCTACGCTGCTCTTATCTTATGGAGGAGCTTTAACAGAAATTAACAAAACTAAAATTCACTGAAAAAAACACTATTGATCACACTAGGATGTAGAATTTTACAAAAATATAAGTAAATAACTTGAAAACAATTGGTAGAGGAAATTAAATATGAAACCCAAATTATAAATTTATACCCAAATATAAATATTTATGTTGCGATTAACGTGTCTTGCGAGTGCTATATTATGAAGAAACTGTTTAAAAGGAACTTGGCCATTTGGGAATTTAGAGCTTGCCAAGCTGGAGTCATGCTTCGTTGGAAAAAAGATCATCAGTCCCGCACTTTATTTGTGAGACTAATGACCTTACGTGGAGAATGAGATTTGATGTATACGGTTGTTACCAAGCTATGGAAAGAAAATAATAAAACATACAAATAGGACATACTCAATGTGATAGACATTAGCGTGTTCACAAAGAGCAGCCCTATTCTATCTGGTTACAATAAATAACTGAAGCGTTGTAAATAATAATGTTTTTATTACGTTGTGTACATCCCATTTGGTAAATGTAATAATATTATATTGAAAAGGTTAGTGGCAAAAACGTTATTAACATTAGTAATGAAATGTGTGGATGGGGAATATAGTGCTCTTAACAAGTAATTGGCTGTAAGAGTAGGTTTAGCAGAGCAAATAGAAAAAAAGAAGAGGAATGAGAAGAAAATAAAGAAGTGAAAGACTAAGAAAAATAATAGAAAAAAAGAAATTAGGTGCTAAAACAGCCCTTACTTTCTCCTCCGTGCTTTCACGCAAAATTACGCGAAAAGTACACAAATTTTCGGAAAATTGTACATAACCTTATTTCAAAAACTATCTTTAAGGGACAGATTTTGTTAAGGGAAAAAACTATCTTCATAATTTTAGTTGAAGGAAAACACTGAACAGATTTTGAATTGTTGCAATGTTCGAAGAATCAGTGTTTTAAACGATAATAAGACTTAAATTTTCACCTAATCGTTCTTCTCACTATTCAAAAACAAAAGTTAATCAAAAACGATAGACCTTTTTTTTAATAATTTTGAAAAATCTTCCAAAGAATTAATGTAAGGTATCCTATAATCAAAATATCGGTTTCAAATTCAAGGGGCTGTGACATCAGCCAGATCAATTGGGGAATATCAATTTTGGAGAAAATGAGTTGCATGGTTTAGCCTCTAGCCTTGTTCACAGACAGACAGAGAGACAGACGTTTTGCCGATTTTCTGGTATCAAGGACACAACAAATGATTCTTGGTACACCAGGTAAAAGAGGAATTTTTTTCTAAATGTAGCAACTGGATTTATCCACTTTTTCGTTATCAGAGCCCTCTAACAGGAGTTTTTGTGCCTAAATTTTGCCGTTTTTTGCGCAGTATTACAAAACTTGCTCTCTACTCTGTAGCGAGGAAGTAAAAGGTGGGAAAAAACAGAAGAAAACGAAAAGTTTCAGGAAGAAAAAGCTGAAGAAGGGAAGGAAGAAAATTCGGAAAATGAAGAATAGAAGAAAGAATGTGAATATGGGGAACAAGACTCAATAGGCACTTTCGCTAGTTCGACCCTCGGCACTGCCCGTTTGAAACAGACGTCCACTCACAGAGTGCTTTTGTTTTTTTGTTTTTTGTCGAAGCACACGACGGAGGCGGCAGAGGGCGTAGCGCGACGGCGATATGGCATTAAGGGCGCGTGGTCGAGTGATAAAAATAATAGAAAACAGATAGAACGAAAGAAAAAGTTGAGAAAAAAGCAACAGAATACGAAGTAGAAGACGAAGATGACGAAAAAGCGGAAAAATAAGAAAATTATAAAGAGTAGAAAGAAGAATGAGCGTAGGGGAAACTCGATGATTCAATATTCCGTTTCGCTAGTTCGACCCTCGATACTGCCTATTTGAATGTTTTAAAATACTGAATAAAAATATTCGAGGCCCATTATTTGATAATTTTAGATAAAAAATATTGCAACTGGTAATGGCCGTTAAGGTATCAGCATCATTCATATTTTTTCCAAACAGAAAAGTGTGTCATTAATTATTTACGATTCAATACCACGGACGGACCGGTTTTACTTTCTCACCTTACAATTCTTTGTAAGAAGAAAAAGTTATGTAATCGTCAGAAAAGGCTTTCGCTAGAAAAAAAATTATTGCCGGTAACTCTATTGCCGTTTCTGGTAACGAAGATGTGGATATATTCTGTTGCTAAATTTAGAAAAACATCCTCTAACTTGTGTAGCTAGAATACATGTCCTAAGGGTGTAATGCGTAACATTGAGGAAGGTCGCAGAATGGCGACTGAAACGTCGGCACCTTCGCCATGCACGCGGCGTCACCCGGACAGCCTAGTAAATACATGTTTTGTTGGTTCTTGGTACTGAAATATCTTTTGACGGGCAAACTCCTGTCTGTCTGTCTGTCTGTCTGTCTATCTGTCCGTCTGTGGTAAACGCTAGCGCCTAAACCGTTCAGCTGATTTTCTTAAAAATTGATGTTCCCAGATTGATCTCAAGGAGACTTTATGACTTTCTACCGCATATTTTGATTGTTGAAGGATTTTTACATGAATTGGGCATTTACGTTTTTGTGCATTTCGCCGAGTTTGAACCATGCGGCGCTTTTGTGGCCTAGTGGTATGAAAGCCGGTACGTTGCGTAATTGCGAGGATCTGCCTTCGAGTCTCGGAGCAGGAAAATAATTTGCTGCTTGAAAATACTTTCGCTGGTTATATAGTAGTATGAATTTGCGGAGCATTAAAAAACAATGCGAAAAAGCATGTGATTTGGTAGCACCGCTAGTTGTTCTTTTTTGCGCGCGGGTGACTGCTCATTTGCGCGCGGGTGACGTAGAGGTGGCGGCGGCGGCGGCGGAGGCCGTTGCGCAAACGGGCCGCGGCGTGCGCTGTATATAGGGCGCGCGGCCGCGGAGCAGCCCGAGTGAGCGCCATGGCGTGTGGACTGCGCGCGCTCGCGCTGTGCGTCGCGCTGTGCGTCGCGCTGGCCGCGGCCACGCCCCCCCGCGCGCACAAGAACCCCTACGTGCTGCCCGGTCGCTCCGCCGTCGTCCACCTCTTCGAGTGGAAGTTCCGCGACATCGCCCGCGAATGCGAGGAGTTCCTCGCCCCCAAGGGGTATGCCGCCGTGCAGGTGAGTGCCCCCCGGTGGGAATGCTGTTCCGTCTTGGTCTTGTGTGTGTATGTATGTACTTTGGCGCAATGACCTCTGACGAAGCCTGGGCCTACCAACTGCGTCCCGGCGTTGCAGCCATGGGGGGGTTGGCACATCGACATCCCTACGTCTTCTCAATCTGAGAAGTGAGATTTCTCATCGTCACACAGCAACAGATACAGCAAGGACATTTGCAAGGAAAGCGCACAGTTAATTTTTGCCCCGACCGAGAATCGAACCCGGGGTCGCGTCATGGAAAGCAAGCACGCTGATCACTGAGGGAATTCCTTCTTTTGTGGCTCCATGAATTCATTAGAATCTATGAAATGTTTGTTTTGGGTTTAAACATGTGTGAAAATATATTGGAAACTCCTCGAATATCTTCAGATGTACTTCACAATTCTTTGTCAAGATTATCATCTTCGAATGAAATGGAAACTTGTTTAGAATGTCTTTAACGCGCTGGCTGGATGGCTCATATGACCAATAACTAAATGTAAATGATGTAGTGCAACCGTCTGCATTGTCAAGACGTACTCTGTTTATAAAATGGTTAGATACGCAAGACAGACAGATACTGACAAAAGACAGACTGATAAAGAAGCAAAACCTAAGACACAATAACTATGAAGTTATATATATTAATCATAGTTACAAAGATACTTTTGTTCAACTTTAAAGAAACGTATTAATTTCTGAAGAGTTATTTTACAATAATAACATCGTACAATCACATGTTTGAAATTCATTATCCGTTACAATGGACTTGAAGAAAATACCATTCACGACGTCATGTAAATGGAAAAGTGAATGCTCTTCTGTCTTTCTGCGGTGCTAACTAAAAATAACCAAACAAACGGTTTTACTAAGCTTTCGTCCTTGTCCGGATGGCCGAGATCGTGAAAACAGTAGTGCCCCAGCGATGTCGGGATAGGTGAGACGTGATGTGTCATAGGGTTGCAGAACTACGCAAGCAGTTAACACGAGGAACCTTTCAGGCTAATATTTCATTAATTACACAGGCACACACAAAAAAAAATAGTTGTCAGACCAAAAGATTTTACTTCTCTATGTCGATGATCTGAATCTGAATTTGAAGACAAAATTGCGCCACCGCCCTCCAGTTATTTTTAAATTGCGAATTAAGTTACATTGAATTTTGTTTTGCGCCATCTCTCGTACCTCTTCCTTGTTCTATCCTCACCCTTTACACACACTTACACTAATATACATTACACTGCGTCGCCTGCAGGGAGACTAGAGGGGTAGGGATATTGGAGCTTGTCCCGGCTGCAGCGGTGCCCCGCTGGTGGGGGATACCTGATAGGGGAAAACCCCACTAGTCGACGATAAAGTCGGCGCCGAATCTTGCCATACAGTCAGAAAAGACCACCGCTACCTTCCGAGAAAACATGAAATATACTTACGGGGCTAATGACAGTATAGTATTTGGCGCGCTCGGAATCACTAAAACTCAATCAAGTGAATGAGACCGCCCCGCGATGCCGCGGGGTCAGAGGTCGGCCGCACCGCTCCAGACCAGGGCACACCCGCCGGCAAGGCCGCTGCCACGGCCGCGGGCGTGGGCGCGGAAGGCCGCGAAGAGGCGCCCGATTGCCTTGAAGGAGTGTCCACCCTCCAAAACTTTGTCAGGAGTAGTATTCGAACCCTCGCCCTCAGAGAGGACTAGAATTCTCACAACCATATTGGTCAGGTAAGGCCTTCCTTGAGTCTGGCGCCTTAGATCGCTAGGCCACCCTGACACATTTATTGTTATTAGAACGGTATTGTAACTATTGATGGTATTGTTACTAGAACAATATTCTTCACAGAATAACTCAGACCACCCGTAGAACCCACCAATTACATCTCATACTCAAAAAGTCTTCACCCCTGAGATTTCATGTAGTTTTTATACCAATCAATAATTCGTGCAATCTTATCCTACGCGTCTCCTATCTGGGCCTCAACCAACAAATCAATTATCTAAAAAATGCAGATTTTTCAAAATACATTCCTCTCAACCATTAAAAAAGCTCCCTGGCTTATACCTAACTCTCAGTTACATATCGAACTTGGCATCAATCCGATCTCCGTCCATTTCTCCCTCCTATCCGCTCGCTTCTGTCCTAAAATTTCTCAGATTCCCTCAGCCGTATATTTCAAACCCTCACCACAACAGACTAAAGCGGAAAACACCGCGAAAGTTCTTCGACCCCCCCCTCCCCCGACCATTATGTACTCAATGCACATTCAATCCACATGTACGCAATGTTTTCATCTGTGAATAATGTTCCTTAAAGAAGGTTAAAATATTCCATTGTACACTCAAGTATCGTACTCGGCCTCTCAGGGCCTTGGAACCAAGCAGAAATAAAAAAAAAATAGAATAAGAGGGAAGAGAGGGGTTGTGAGGCGCAATGGACGCGTCGTGATTTGTATCGAGACTTGTTGCTAATTTTTAGGAGCAAAATTTTAATGTTAAACACACAAGATGAATGTCATTATGATAGAAATATTAAGAGAACTGTAGACGGTTTTTTGAATTTCAATGTCACAGTTAATTTCATTGTCACATTATATTCGTTTTTCGAGTATAGAGGACGAGATGCAGCTGAACCGTCGATGAGCTTGTGGAGAAGAACTCTTGGACTGGGAGTTATTTATCGTTCAAATGCGCATCAAATTACGAAATGGAAGTAAACCGTTTTAAAGAACTGAATAAGAAATGTACATGGCCCATCATCTGATAATTTTTTTATAAAAAAGCATCGCAACCAATAATGGCTATGTTTGGCACCAGCGACATAGTTTTTTTCAAACATTGTGTCGGAAGTGAGCAATTAATTATTCACGAATCTATACTTGATATTTTTTCTAATGGGAAATCTTTTTGACTTGTCTGCACTAAGTTTCTTTCCCTAACTGCATTAACAACAGTAATACGCAATTGTGCGTATTACTGACGCGTAGTGTTGCAATTTTCGCTAGATTATGATAAATTTCTTCTCATACCCACTTTTCACTTCTACTTCTTGTTTCTGTGGTTTAACTTCGCAGCGTCTATAACTTTCCGTTTTACTCAACTGGCTGAGTCAGACGTACCGGCAGTCACATTGTTATTTGCCTCAGCAGACCACTTCGCTCGTGACATACACCAGTCACACCAGAAAAATTGCAACAACCTTTCATACTCGCTTGACATCTTACAGATATTCTGTTAACTGCTGTAACTGGTAAAGTCGTCTCGCAGAAGTCCCCTTCTATTTGTATTTAGCCGTTATATGTCCCGTAAAGGGCAATAGGCCTCAGTGCCGTTAGGTCACGTGGTTCTTAGTCGGTCACCCAACCAGGAACCCGTGATGTTCAGAAATCGCTTAACCTACGTGATTTCACGTAGTTAACGAATTCGGCTGGCGAGTTTTGGCTAGCGGGCAGCTTTTGGGGTTGTGGACTTTCAGTACAATCATCCCAGCATTCGCCTGGATGGCCGAAGGAAACGACAGAAAATCCCGATCAGGATGGCCGGCATGGGGATTGATAGATGACCCTTACTTTATGCATTAAACAGCGGAACCCGGCCGACGTTGCGATTCATCTGCCTCTCTCTCCTCTCTCTCCCTGTCTGTCTTTTCCCCTCTGTCCTTCTCCCTGTCTGTCTCCGTCTCTCTGTCCCATACCCTCCCTTTCTCCTTCTCATCGTGTCTCTCTGCATTTCTCCCTCTTGAGGTACATAGTAAAATTTTCAATGAAGCCAAAACGATTTTCACAAAATTACGAAAAGAGCATACTGTAGCCAATTCAATAAAATCTCAGTTGTTGTTATATCTAGAAAATTAAAAGTAATATGTACAAAAATATATACAATATCTACAACTTATACATACACATAAATGAATTTTAAAATACGTGCTAGAGTGCAGTCTAGCCACATTACAGTCGAACGTTTAAATTGAGTCGTTTCAAAGTTGGAGTAACGGAACGTAGGAGATAGTTGAAAATGTAACGGAGCTTAGGAAATAGTTCAAGGTACAATTTCGAATGGTTGATCCTAATGTTAAGAAAGGGAGGAAGAAAGGGAGAAAAATATTCACTATGTTGTCATAAACCTTCGTATTTTAACGGTAAACTCCAACAGAAATAAGAGACTAATACTAGAAATATTGAATTTAAAATCTCAGAATATTATAGAATCCAATCAGTTTACAAAGATCTTTGGATAGATATAATTTTATACGTAATTTTTGCCGTCGTATCAAACTCAACCCACAGAGGGCTACGCCTATAGAAACTAAAAAGTTAATGATAACCAAAATTGAATGGGTAATATAAAAAATAATAACAATAATGATAATAATAATAGTATGGATAATAATGCTAATGATAATAATAGTAATAATGCTAATGCTAATAATAATAATAATAATAATAATAATAATAATAATAATAATAATAATAATAATAATAATAATAAAAATAATAAACATACATATGTAATTTCCCAATAATTGTAAGAATTGGGACGAAATTCAAAACCTCAGTAGAAATGTGTTGATGTGTTAAAATACTAGCATTCGTTCTTGCTGGTCTGTAATTTCATTGTGCGACAGAGGGAACTCCCGACTGGAAACGTCGCTCATGGTGACGCGAAACTACACTTCCAGCTCGTTTTATTCTGTTCTGGCCCGCACGTTAACCATGACTCGACACAATTTTGCTACAGTTACGGAATCCATCGTTACTGCGTGCTGTCTACTCTTTATTTATTTATTGGCGTCAAAACAGTTAAACATTGTTAGTGACGTGATAATGAAATAATGCGAACGCGTCTTGTTATACTCGTTCTTACCTTTGAATAGTCCATAATACACTGTTTCAAGCATATGATAAACTAATATAAAATATAATTTTCTTACCAAAAATCTAATCAATTGGAATAAATGTATTAACATCAGTCGCAGTGATTACTTGAAATTTAATTTAATATAATTTCTTCTTGATTTTGAGTATTATTTGTAGGCAAACAAATTAATTAGGAAAAACACTTCTCTACAAGTTATTTTCATTTGACTGAAAACAAAATGGTCAGACAAAAATACTGATAAAATACTCTCAACTGACCAGTAAACAACTGTCTGATTGCACTTAGTATATTTTTGTGAAAATAAAAGTTCTATGTTGCGCCTAAGTAGAACTGATGAAGCATATTCCACATTGTTAATAATTTTCTCTAGATTTTTTATTACTTCGATTATATGTAAGAATATAAATAATTAATTGAGACGATGGGTCTCTTCTACTGATATTGTTTTTTCTTTTACACTTTTCAGGTTTCGTCATTGTTTTATAATTTCCATATTTAATTAGATTCATAATGACATCTGTGTTTTAGACTTCTCCCATCGCTGAACATTTGTCCCAACCGAAGAAAGGACACCCCTGGTGGGAGCGTTATCAGCCCATGTCGTTCAGAATCGTCAGCCGCTCCGGGAACGAATCGCGATTCGCTGAAATGGTGGAGCGATGCAACTACGTAGGCGTCAGGTAGGGGCTCTGAGTTGAATCCCAACTCACAAATCGCTACAAAAGTGACACAACTCAAAATGTCAGGTTTTCCATAAATCAGAAAAAACGTGTGGCAATAACGATACATTACTTCGACAAAGAAATTTATCTGTACCAATGAGAACGGATATAAAACCAAGATTAAATGTTATTTTTGTCATTTCTAGCATTATACCCAAAGAACTGACCTTTCATTTAGTTTTGTCAGTTTTAGTGTCTTGTTCAGTCATATAGCCGATCATATCCAGCCATTTTGTGAACTTATAAACTACTTTTTTGCTGACAGGTCAAGTACAATTTCTGCAACTGTGTCATAGTAACAACTCAAAAATTAAGTTTTTGATAGAATAAATTTCTAAAAATTGTCTGAAAGGCCTCTTTAATATTTATTGAAATGATTAAAACAATAAATACTCCAAACACCATATCTCCAATTTACAATCTTTATATGCTATATAATTATTTTGGATTTATTTTTGTGAAGTTTTGCTTTCGATTTTTCCTTTCAAATGTGTAATTTCTTTACGAATAATAACTGGCACACTATTTTACAAAATCTTCTACTATCTTGCTCTTCCTTCCTTGTCAGAAAATATGATTTTCTAAAGCGATATGATTTTGCTTGGTCACACTATTGAAAGTCATTTTAAATCATTAGTAATGACAAATTTTTCATTATGATGCATGATCCTATCTACATTACTAATTACTGGTATAATGACAATATAATAATAATTTGAAATCACTTATAGTCATTTCCAAACATTACATGTTTACTTGAAATTGTATTTAGTTTTGTTTAATTCTAAAACAATACCAAGGTATAATACTTGAGTATTAAAATTGCAGAGTGTACGTTGATGTGGTATTCAATCACATGACTGGTCCTTTGAAACCAGCGCGCAGTATTGCAGGCACTTCTGCGGACGGTATTAACAGAAACTATCCGGAAGTTCCGTTCCACAATAAGCACTTCAATCCTAAGTGCGACATTCACACCTATAACGACGTTAACCAGGTAATATAAGAAATGTTAAATCTTACACACTCATGAGAATAAGAAGCTAAACTGAGTTGTGTATCTTTTATAATGCGAGTGATGTACATAGACTCGAAAGTTATATTACAATTTTAAGTGATTATAATATCTGTTTTTGTTTCCATTACAGGTTCGCAACTGTTTGCTCAGTGGTTTAAATGATCTAAACCAAACCAACATATATGTTCGAGAAAAAATTATAGATTTTCTTAACCGTTTGATTGACCATGGAGTAGCAGGCTTTCGGTATGTACAGGGATTCTAGTGTGCATGAGAGCGTAATGTTTTTAGCAAAACTTGATTTATGGATTTTTTCTCTTTCGCTCTTTAGAGTTGATGCAGCCAAACACATGTGGCCGGCGGACCTTGAGTACATTTACAGTCAAGTAAAAAATCTCAGTGCTCGCCATGGGTTTGCTCCTGGACTGAGACCTTTCATTTACCAGGAAGTTATCGACCTTGGTATAAAAACTAACTTCTCTCTTTTGATACAGTTTGTTTCTTCCGCAGTTTTGTTTCTCAAAATGATCGCACGAGTAATTTATGTATTATACTTTAATACTAAATTGCTTGTTTCAAAAACATAACGACGAAAGTACTCGAAAAGTAAAAAAAAACTATTATTTGAAAACAAATCAAAATGAACTGTTAGATGTGTTAAATGATAATCATACTTGAAATATTTTAGTATTTTGAAAACTAGTTAATACGATAAATATTTTGAAAATGTAATTCAAGATATCATGCTTACTCAGTACTCAAAGCAATATCATTAATAATAAAGAAATTAATCCGTGGAAGAAATATTATTATGCCAATCCATCCGATCTTCCATTACTTTTAAAGGGGGCGAAGGCGTTAAGAAGACAGACTACAATGCCCTCGCTCGCGTCACGGAATTCAAGTACGGCGCTGAAATCGGGAACGTTTTTCGAGGAAACAATGCGATGAAGTGGCTGAAAAATTTTGGTAAGACCTTTGCATCTGCCTTATTTTGCTTACAATGTGTATTTTACGCAGAGATTTCAGTGTATTGTCGCGACTACTCGTTTTTTTGCGTCTAGTATCTTCGAAATCTTGCTAATGACAGATTATCAGATGGTTTAATATTGATGTCTAAGTAGTCTGCACGTTTTATCCAAGGTGGTTTAATCTATTTTGGCTAGAATGGCGCGTAATAGTTTTGAGAAAATAATAAAAGGAAATCTCAAGCAAAAAGAGAACAAATGGTTCCATCATTATTTTGTCCATCATTATTTGTTTTAAATATAAAATATTAACATCATCGTAAAACCTGACCTCAGAGCGATTAAAAAACACGTAAAGTAAGCATGTACATTTTTACTATTTAACCAAAGAAGGGGTCTGTCAATAATACCAACTAAACCCATTTATTCATTTACCAACCTTCCAAGTTCAAGTTCACCCAAATCCCTGTTTGGTGAGTTTTCTCACTGAGTAAAAGTTCGTAATACGGTGTACACAGTAAACCGTACTGCCATTTATACTAGAACATGCGACGTGGCTATTTGTGTTAACGGCGCCGTTAGCGACTTAAGTGCGTTGTGGTGCGTTGCTGTGCTTCAGGCAGTGAATGGGGGCTGCTACCCAGTGGCGACGCTTTGGTGTTCGTGGACAACCACGACAACCAGCGAGGACACGGGGCTGGAGGCCCCACCATCATCACCCACAAGGAGCCCCGACTGTACAAGGTAACCTCGCATCATACGCGATCACCGACTCATCGTTGAAAGAAAAGGAATGGTTCCTGGACGCCTAAGGTCTCCTTCTGACATGGACACAGCCGCGCGCCTCCGATAAGCGGCAAGGCTCTTCTCACGGGGCCACCGCCGCACAGCTGCCCGCCGTGGAAGGCCGGCGAGGGTTTGGGGCCGGTAGGCATCGACGACCCTTCGGCGACAACGAACTAAGAAATGTATCGCTGCGGCGATGTGTATTCGCGCAGTGGGAGGACCTCCATTTAAAGCAATGCTCTGCTAGCGGTGGCGAGGAATCTCTCCCGGGCTCCTCGTGGCAAGCGTTCGCCGCCGAAAGACACCGCAGCAGGAATCCCTCGCACGTGGGAAGAGATCCATTTAAACCAATGCTTTACTACCAGACGTGATTTGCGGTAGGGCGTTGCTGTGACTGCGCGTAAAGGGACCCTAATGAGCGTTAAAATGTTTAAGTAGTTGGACGTTATGTAAGAAAATTCTTAACGTTAGGTAAATGGTGACTATTATAATTTCTGTAACGTGATGGGTATGTACATTCTGAATACAAACCACTTACATTAAGAAATCATTAGTATTATTGTGTAAGTACTGTAAATATGTTGGAAGAATTTCTAGTTGAAGCTGAACCTGAAAAAGCCCTTCAAAGGAGCCAAAAAAGTTCAATTTCTTGATAAATATTGACTTAATAGCATTCACAATTTGCATTGAATTATGTAAAAATTGAAACATTTCTCTAGACTGGACTATTGAATTTGTATTATTTATTTGAAATGAATTTCAATCTATTGGGGTATCTGAAAGAGAAAAATCCATGCAATCTACATTCACTTTAATACAATGCCAAATTGTCACAATTTATTCTCGCAATGTGTGGTTCAGAGTGTGTCATTAATATGCAAACCGCCTGTAGCAGACAATCCATTTGGTTAATTCAAATGGCAACAGCGAACGAGAAGGTATAGCATCTGGTTGGTGAGAGATAGCGCTGATAACAGCACTCACCACGAAATATTTCTTTAAACAAACTTCAAAATATATTTCTTGCCCACCTGGATAGCCGAGGTCGCCTCGTATCTGAATCCCGAATCAGGGCATGGATATCTATGTGTGTCGAAGACGAGTTTGCAAGTTTGGGTATCGTTACAGTTACCCCAAAGTTACAAAATAGACGTTACTTATAGTGGTCGCTTGGACCTTCGCCGTTTAAAATCTACTTTCAATAAGTTAAATAAAAAAAGTATATGTCTTAAAACCCCACCAGACGAAGCGCCTCTCCCTACAGAAATTCCAACCGAAACAGAGACAAGAACCTATTGTGCGATCTCTGCGCTTTTTACTCGTCGTATTTGTTTCAAGAGATGTACGAACATGCATCTCATTTCTCGTACTATGCACAAATGACAAATTATCTTTCAGTATTTTTTATACAGTATGTTTTAAATTGATGGCTATATCATTTTTACATCGCATCTTCCGATATGAAAGTAGTCGTAATGATAAATAGACGGCGGAATTCTAAGACATCAAAAATAGACAATATAAATGAATTTATGATTGATACATTTGAAGCCAACGAACCTCAACATATATTATATCTAGAAAAATATATGATATTCTCTCTACTTAATGATAACTCTGAAAAGTGAAGTTGAGAGACTTTTTTTGGTTCGGTTTTGAATGCTTCACAACAGTTACACGCCTCACATTTTAACGCTCCTTTCGAATGTTCCTCAACATGTGCTTGCACGTCATCTACAAAACCGAAACTTATCTCTTCTTTCACCTTGAATCTTAATTCCTCCTCTGATCTACTCTTTTTTAGTCTCATAATATTCTCTAATGAACGCTTATCAGCACAATTCTCAACATTGCATTGACAATATTTAGCAATTTAAGTATAAACAGAATTTCATGAAACCGTGTCTTCATTACATTTTAATTATCTATTACAAAAGTAGCGCAGCACTGGTTATTTTAGCTTTAATCTATCCATTTTATATAACGTTACTGTTTAAAATTTTTTGATAAGGACCACATATGTTTTTTGTAGATGGCTGTAGCATTTATGCTTTCCTGGCCTTACGGATACCCACGTGTTATGTCCAGTTATTCTTTCAACAACACGGACAAAGGCCCTCCAATCAACAAAAACAGCTCCATAAAAAACGTCACAATCACCAGCAATGGAAAATGCGGAAATGGGTGGGTGTGTGAGCATCGTTGGCCGGCAATTGTCAATATGATCGAGTTCCGGAACAGAGTTGATGGTAAATGTAAATTTATTTTTACCTACTTACTAGTTCATAAAGCAGAGCTTCCTCTAAGATAGTTAGCAGAATTGAATGTCAAATGTTGCAAAGTTTTTTGAAATGTATAACAAGAAAAAATACGTGCTGAATTTATGAACTAATAATATATGTGGAATTCACGAAATTAAGCATCAGCACATTCGAGATCATTCTTGTTATGAAAATATGAGGGACAATCAAAAAGGAAGATAACAAGATATTTCACGGGCACATTTATTTTGCAACCTCACAGATAAATGTTAGAATGTCACAACCACTCATTATTTCTCAGAATATTCACCCTTCTTGAGAAATTCATTTGTTCTACGCGTATACAAAAGCATTCTAAAAATAGTATACTTTATTTTCTTAACAGTTACAATATTATACACAGTGTGTCACATGTATATTCTGTTCTGTCAATGTTGTATAGGAACTGCTGTGACAAACTGGTGGGATAACGGCAACTATCAAATTGCGTATTCGAGAGGCGACAAAGGATTTATTGTGTTCAACGGTGAGAAGGGTGCAGACCTCAAGCAGATCCTTAAGGTTCGTGCTCATATCTAAGAAGTGCTTAAATGCATGTAATGTCTTTCTTTAAATACTTATTTTTTGAATTGAAATTAGCCTTTCTGTAGTCTGACTCGTGATGGTTTCAAAGACTAATTATATAATTATGATAGAACATTAAACGTATAGAAATATAATACCTTATTTATTTAATAGAATTTTATGGTATTTCTAGTATTTACAAACACGTCAAAACATTTAAAATAAATATAAATTGTAGCAATTTTTTCCGTTCTTAAAAAAATAGATTTAAGTACATTCAAGTTAAATTGCTTCAGTTTTAATGAATCGTATCGCGGTTAATCAGACGTTTTTGTGAATGATTTACACTGTGAATATGAATGTCTGGGTAAGGTAGCGGCGAAGGTTCTTTGGACGTTTTGACTATTGTATCGTGTTTTCCTTGGAGCTGAAGAATGTCAGAATCGTCAGCGCAGCGCATTTACATAGACCGCTGTATAACGATAGCGACCTATACGAGTATAAACTCGAGCTCTGACTATTCTGACGCACTTCAGCTGCGAGGAAAACCGTGATAAAACGTCCGTACCGCAGCCTCTGCTGCCACGTGACTCAGGCTGAGGAAGCCTTCTAAATCAATGATTCGTGTTCTACAATTAAATCGTTTATTTCAGAAACCCGTCAAACGCCAAAAATTAAAATAGGCATAGCGGCGGATTATTGTTCTAAGAGGATAGACACATCGTAGAGCGCATAATTATATGAAAAATATTCATTTATGAACTGCTTTAATAAATAAAATATTTTGAAATCAGTAAAATTGAGAGACAATACGTTTTCTCGGAATCAGGAATATGGCGTTTGACGGTTTCTGAAATAAACATTTCAATTACCGAAAAATAACTTGCGCATTTCCAACGTTCTAAGTTTTTTAACATTACAAACCACATTTGAAGAATTCTGAATTCTGGAGCTAAATTATTCTGGAGAGTATTATTTCAGAAGTAATTCCTTAGAAAACATGTCAAGTTCTTTTAAAAACAAAAACAAAAATTAGCGTTATTTTTAGTACTTACGAAGTTATTTTTTTGCAGACCGGACTTGCAGAAGGTTCTTATTGTGACGTAATATCTGGCCAAAAGATGCGTAATAAATGCACAGGAAGAACAGTTGACGTCGGAAAGGATGGAAATGCAGCTATTACCTTATTGAAAGAGGAAGAAGGCGTGTTGGCCATACATATTGGGGTAAGCGTCATTCAAATATGATGAAAACTATATTCAGTTGTTAATCCTACTTTTAGTCTCGTATCTGGTACCACAATATTACTTAACTCTCACTTTTTCAAAACACTGCCATCATATATAGTTGTAATAATAGAAGATATTGAATGTCTTTTGAAAGGCGCAGTCTCTTATTTTTTTCAATAACTCTTGTAAATCTTTTGTCATCAAATACTTTGATATATAATAGCAAATTCCTAACGTACTTCAAAACTCATGTGGAAAAAATTGCTAATTTTTACCTTAAAATTAATTTTTTAACAAATCTTAATACTAATATAAAATCGTGAACATTAAACATCAAATGGCTTCCATAGCACTATTGTCTGAAAACACATATTGAACATGAAACTATTTTTCGGATTAACTTTTAAAGCAAATCATTCTTTCAAAGAACTTTATACTTTTCTTTAATGCCTTACTTTTCAGTTATGAAAATTAACAATTTCACAAACAATGGATCTGTTATTTTTCTGTACAAAAAACATTTATCCCATTTTATCTCCATTTACATCTCTGGAAAATAATAATATTCCATTACCTATTATTCTTGTTACAGTCGAAGATACATGGATAACACATCTTATGAAGAATATGAAGTAGATATGTTTTTCATAAAACTTTGAATAAAACAAATAAATATGTGTGGTCTTCTTGTATGGAAGGCCTAATATCACGATAAAATTTGATTTTTACCATTTCCCTTGTCCAACTCAATTGTCTTTACTGATTTAGAGTACGTACACATTATTAAAAATGTATATTTATCTGGTAAATTCTACACTTATATATGCAATGAAAACTAAATAAATGGGCCAACAATTTTTAAAAACAGAAGAAAAAAATGGCCGAACTGGATGATAGGGGTGGCTAAAACTCGGCGCTCCGGTCCGAAGAATCATGGATTCGAGCCCTGGCTTAGTTGTTTGACCATTGTCTGTCATGTATATGTTGTCGCGGAGGGCCTCATGTTCTATTTACCTCTGATCCGAAGTGACTGCAATTGTCTTGGTGTCTAGTGTATGATGACATTTGCGTTCCATCGGGACGTAAAGGGTAACTGGCTGTTGGCTGGAAAAGCCGTAGAAAATAAAAAGAAAGAAGGAGAGTAAAAAACAAATTGTATATGTACACGAAATACTTATCCACAAGCGTATCGTAGCCACTATTGTGCATGCGATGCATTTGTTCATTTACCGTTTAAATGATAGTACTTTAACAATGTTTTTATGTCTATGTAAAAACGATTTACATGTACCATATGTGAATCAATTGAATTATAAAAACAACGAAACTAAAAATTCAGAAACAAAATAATATGATAAAATTAAATGCAGAGACAGAAATACAAAGGAAAAAGTAAAAAAAAAACCAAAAATAACAACAACTGAAGCGTAGAATGATGTGGGGACAATGAAACAGACTTCGTAAACGTTATAAAGTCCCAGAACACGAGGTTGATTTGTGGATCTGCCTGACGCACAGAATCGCTGGCTTCCGGTGTCGTAGCGACTTCGAAAACGCTTTTCCCAGGGAGCTGGGGACTCCGCGGCCGTCGGTGGCGCTTCGCCGCGCGGAAATCGAATCGCCCCGCAGAACGCAGCGTCTGCGAAACGGAAGAAGAAGGCGAAGGCGCGGGGCCTTCTTTGCGAAGTAAAACATCTGACGGGTGAGATCCTCCGGGCCCCACACCGCACACGGCCCGCGACTTCAGTTATTCCTCCTCCTCCTCCACTGATATCGACATGTCCTGACGTGTCTGACGTTTATGCCCGATGCCCAAGCGAACGAATAAAGGTGCGTTATCGTTGAAATACGATTCTATACGGTGCGAACTGACGTGGGTTGCCGAGGAAATGGCCATGTAGATGTCAAAAAGCGTTTTTGGACAGCGACGTAAGTTACAGGAAGACAAACACGCGCCGTATATTTCGGATGAAACTGCCATAAAGTGAGAGAAATGCCAAATGAAAGTAAAATGTGACGTGAGAGATCTGACTCGTGACGTTTAGTTGATTTGCACTCTATTTTTATTTCAGGAACGTTTATAATTTTATTAACAGGAAAAATACTATTTTTTGTCGATAAAGTAGAGTACAGTTATTCAATAAGAATATTTTTTTGTTTTATATACAGTTATTCAATATGAACCTTCTACTCACATTCAACATAATATATTTTTTAGAAGTCTGTTTAATAGTTATTTATGAACCAAGACTATTATAAAGGTTCTAAAGAAGTTAAAGAGAACAATTAGCGACAAATAGCTCCATGGTCTTTGGCCTGTTAATGACTGTGTTACATACAAAATCACATGTACTTAATTTGGGTAATTTTAATTTACATTCTTAACAAGTTGTTAATTCGAGTTTCTTGTGGTTTGAAATATTTTCATATTTTCCTCTCATCTCCCCATACCCTGATCCTCTTGATCCAGGAAAGATATGCCGTGTCGATTGATCTTCATATCAATCCGATATACTGGCCTTCAGCTTGTGGCCCGCAAGGCAATAGCCACTAAAGCGTAGTATATTGGGACTAGTACTTTTGTATCATTCGCAATTAAATTGGTGCACATAATATGAAATAGATTCACCTGCTGTTAAATATCGAAGTGCATGTTGTCTTCTCCACAAGTAGAATAACTACTGCTTATGAATGTTAACTGATAACTATTATATATTATTGCAATTTACTTAATGTTGTCATTAGGTAAACTTTTTTTTTAATTTTCAACTCTTATAAATATTTGCACAGTAAGTGGCATCTTTAAAAACGTTGCCGTCTCATCATGTTACGCAATTAATGTAGAAAATTGAGTTGAATTTATCTGAACGTTGTGAAATCCACTCGTACTCGAGCACAGAACATATTGGAATATTAGGTCGTGTAATTTATTTAATCAATGACATATACGATCAAATTGAAATCGAAAAGTAATTACTCCATTATATACATAAAATGCAACTAGTTATTTTAAAATACTTTAAAATAAAACAATTATGAAATCGTGATTAATTGCGAATTAAATGCTAATTGAAGCTGAGTACTTCAGGAACAGAGGTACACAATTTGAGGCAATGGAATTGCACTTTGACCTCTACCGTGTTTATTAGAATTGCCAGTGGGCAGAACGCCAGAAATTGTTTGACAACGGCTAAAGAAAACATGAAAGAGTCACGTGTGGATTGCTCTTCAAGACGAGTGGTGATTCAAAATGTTTCACGTTTTAAGGTACTTGGGTTGCGTTAGCTTAGCCAAAATAGCAATTTGATTGGGAAATTTGACTTACTTTCCACGCGCATATCCAAGTCAAAGACATTTCCGCAGCCTTCGACTTTGGCAATTAAGATAAAACATCCTGGTGTCCACTCAACGCATTTCCAATGTATTTTACACCAAAATGCGCGCATCCCAATAAGTCAAAAAATGGTTTAAATTGTGCTACTTTATGATACTGTACTGTGGCAGTACTGATACTTAATGTATGGATTATAATGAATTTCGACAGTGGCTTGTAGCAGTGCAGCAGAACCGCTATTTAATAGTTCGCTAACGACCAATAGCAGTGCTTAAGATAAACCATGTGCTTTAAGATTATGCACAAAATGTGCGTTAAGGATATTTTTAGTTGTCATTTCAGTCTTCTTTTATTTTCCATTCATCGCAACAAAACATTAGCATTTCGTTTTTTTGTAATAAGTACAATGACACCAATGCAACAAAACACATCTATTGAGTTTTGATATGAACGCATATCAGACAATTCACAAATAACCACGACACCGTCCGGAAATCACAAATACAATTTTGAGTCGTGTTTGCTATTGACTCGCATTTGCTTTCATCTCAATATTCACGCGCGTCAATACGCTGAACGAAACGAGCGTGTTTGAAATACTTGGAAGCGCGCGCAATCGAGATGTCACGCTTTTCCGATGTGCGTGTGGGCAACCTCTGCGATGTGCCGTGGGGAAGGGGCGGTTCCCGGAAGGGCAGCGCTGTGGAAAACCGAGACCATGTTAATTTTGCCGCTGGAAATGCCGTGGCTTGACAGCCATCGCAATATCAATACCCACAGATGATACCCAGACTTCCCAAATTGCGTTGCTTTACTCCGGCCCAGTACTCTGCCGATGGCACAGGGCTAGCGCGCTCGCTCGTTCACGCTCGAGGGTCCCGGATGCATTCTCGGTGGACCGGGGTACATACTTCAGAGCATCAATGTATGTCACTGCAGTCTCTCTGACCGGGAGGACCTAGGGTTACAATCCTGATCGACGGTGGCAGGTGTTTCGACACTAGCTTGTCAGCTACGTCGAATTCAGTCGCTGTCTGGAGGAGAATTCTAGTGGCCAGCTGCTCTGATCGGTAGTTTTCCGTGGTTTCTCCGATCAGCACCAGGCAAATGCCGGAGCAGTACTCTAACAAACGGGCCACGGTCCGCTCGCGACCTTTCCAACCTCTTCCTTGTTCTATCCTCACCCCTTTTACGCACTTACTGTCACATGCACTACGTTACCACACGGGCCGGGAGACCGATTAGGAGCTTAGAGCTTGTCCTGGTTGGGGCGGTGTCTCATGGGTGTCAGGTATCGGGCTGGGGAAACCCCCGCTAGCCGCCGATTGGTCGGCGCCGAATCTCGCCATACAGTGAAGGAAGACAATCACCACATCACGAGCAAAACATGGTCTACAATTACGGGAATAACGTCCTTAGTATGTGACACGTCTGGAATCATTAACAAAAAAATTAACATTAAAATATTATCGGTGGAGGCAAGACAAAATCGCATCTTCCGCAAAATATGTAACTATGCAAAAGTGGAAGCTGCAGGGGATATGGGTAATGAGTGACAGAGGTGCCGGATGAATTGATGCCTTGTGAGTTAACTAATGAGGTCATTCATTTCGTTAGGGTAGTGCGCGTTATATCTCGTCTTACGACTGTGTTTCTTTCCCGC